TTCCCGATCCAACATCCTTTGCTCCTGGTTGCTCCGCAATTCTGGACATGCACTTGCGACACTCGCGTACGCTTCGATAGAAAGAAATATATGTTAACTACGGCAATACCGACGAGAATCCGATTCAATATCTCAACGATCGATGAAATATTTTATTACGCGACGGAAGTTAGAGACTGATAACGCGTGTTTCGCGGCGCGCTGTATGTACGTGTCCGCCGACTCCAGACACAATGACACGGCTAAGGACACACAGACGCGCACGAATACTAGAACAATCGGCACTAGCATACGCGGCGAAGTCTCCCCCCTCCCCCCACTACCACACAGTCGCGCGCTGATCAGTAACGAATATTACACACAGCTTCTATATACTGCTAACTCCCTAATTACAACTGAGGCAAAAAGTGACGGCCATTTTTGTTAAGACATTCACAAATATATTTACGTACTAATTTTGCCTTAACAAAGATGGCTGCCCCTATTCACACTACGTTAAAATTTTGCCTCACTTTTCTACAGGCCGACTATAGGGAGTTAGCAGTCTAATAGTATATAGATGTCTGTGGTATTACAGCGGCCGGCGTTCAATGCGCGTAAGATATTCGTGTTTGAAATAATCTAATCGCTAAATTGTCAATTTAACAGTATAGTTACACGCGCGGTGCGATTGATAGTGTCGTTCGTAACATCAAATAATAGTTGTCAGTTAACGTACGATCATTAACGTCGCGTTTCCGATCGTCTCATGCTTTCGAGGCAATAGTGAACACTTGATATTAAAAGCAACCAGGAGCTGACTTCTGAGTGGATTACAGATATAACTGCAGTCTAGCGACAAAGTTAATAAATTTTTCTTTTCCATCTCTATTAAACTCGAGATTTTTTTCGAAATTTCTAACTTCAATAAAGAATAATAATAGAGATTATAAAAGACGGAAATTTTGTTTTAATTACCGAGATGTATGTATTAATCTTTAATAGATTATTTAATATTTACTTCAGTGTTTAACAAAACAACGATAAATAATTTGTAGCTCATCAAAAGAATAATTTGTATAGTATTATATTTCGAAATTTTTTATCGATCCTTCGATAGAAAATTTATAAGAATTATAAATTTGTAAAAAAATTTATAAGAATTTATAAATTTGTTAAATAGAATCAAAATTTCGTGTCAGGAGAAATAGCATGACCGCTGCATCATATGATCAAAAAGGAACGAGTATCCTGCTTTTTTTTTGGCGAAAGAGGGATGATTAAAAAAAATAAAGGAAGAAATATACAAACGACAGGATGTCTTGCGTAAAACATCTGCCAAAAGAAAAATATAAGTAGAACAGATAAAAGTGAACAAAAATTATAGAAGTCATTTTTCAAACAACTACATAAAATTTCGAGATATTAATAAAAATAGTTGGAGATATTAATAAAAATAGTTGGACAAATTAGAGCGCGCGACGCGGCAGGCGGGACATACGGCCGGCGAAGAAAATGGACGAGCGCACACCTACACGTACGCACACACGGAACTACCCATTTCCGTATGCCAAACAACCCACCTCTCTGGCCTATAAGATAGACCCGCGAGCAATCGTCCATTTTTTTCGCCAGCCGCGGCAAGCCGTATGTCCTGCCTGCCGCGTCGCCGCGCTCTAATTTGTCCAACTATTTTTATTAATATCTCAAAATTTTATGTGGTTGTTTAAAAAATGATCTCTACAATTTTTGTTCAGTTTTATCTGTTCTACTTATATTTTTCTTTTGGCAAGTCTTACGCGGGACATCCTGTATATTAACGCATTTGTAGTTTCTATATGGTATTGCATCCTACCCTAATATGGAATTTATGCGCCACTTCTTGCGTGGTCCGCTGTTTGCGGAAGCATGAAATAAGACGCGGCGACGAGTAACAAATGTAGAGACACTGCTTTTTACTGAATTCCATGTTGACCGCGCGAAACCGAATGCGAACGAACGGTCGCAGCTATGTATCCGCGAATATGAACCATTACGTTAGCAATCTTCTTACAATGGCGAAGGCTGCGCTCTTTACGCAGATAATACGACAAAAACTTGCGTGCGGTATAGGCAACGATATTTTCGCACTTGTCGTGTCGAAAGATCGTAAAAGCTGAAATTGTCTGCGTCCCGACACTCCCGTCGCGGCCAACCGCAGGACAATGCAACCGCAATGTATTGCTCTTCAGCACGAGTTATTTCGCTACAAGTCACTACAGCTTTTAACACCTTCCGCGGACGCAATTCGAACCCGATTATTTACAAAGGCGGAATCATCTGCCAGGAAGCGCGAAGAAATGTTTCATTTATGTCTACAAAAATTGAGATGCAGCGATCATAAAGTAGCTTAAACGACAGAAAATACCGATAATGTGTTTTTTGAAAAATTAATAGATTCTTCACTCGTTCTTTTTTTCACTCTCTTTCTCTTTGACGAGGACTTAAACTTATTTAAACTCTCGTGCGTCAAATATACAGACATATATACCTATCATACTGTAAGACACTATAAATTATAACGAGCAAATATTTTCACACGACGTATCTAATCGGGAAATATTACACAAATTTCAAGTAAAAGATTCAGAATCTTATATTTCCTTTCCCGAATTATATGTTATACGATTTGATACACAAAAAATGACAACTGCTGCTACCTGTTGTATACGTCTCCTACTCCGTCAATAATACGTGATAGTTAGTTACCGACTGCTTCTTGGCGCGCAAGCTTGTTGCCGCAGATATTTGAATCCGGCAGCCATCATGCTCCGTAGTCCAACATTTCTGACGATCTACATCCTCGCGTAATCTACACTCGCTTTATGTCACTATTCACTGATATTCGGTTATAACACTCATTTTTTACATTACCCGCGATAACTCGCGCGCGAGACTCGTCATCGGCGAGTCGAAAATGTAACGGATACGACGATGAGTTGCTTTAATCAAACGAACGCTCTACACCTTACCCCGCAGTCCCGACGACAGAATTCACGAAATATTGACATTCAGCGTTTGTTTTAACAGTATCTCGGTACAACAAACATGTGAATACTTACTTTCCGGCATTCCTGGCGGTATGTCGCGCACAAGACTAGACTCTGGCGAGTTGAAGCACGGAGCGGATTCGCGAACTTGAAGTATACCGACGCCATTTGTATCGCAAGTGATTGAACATTGCAACGGTTTACAATTCTTGAACTAGACGCGATAAACCGACCAATCAGAACGATTAGCTTACTCCTTGTCCCCAACCTTACTTTAATCTTTAATGTCCATTTTTACCAACTTTAGTTAACCAGTTGGTTATTCCAATGGAATTGATCAATCACATTTTTCCTTAGTCAGACTTGATAGATGCGATTGGTCAATTTCATTGGAATAATCAGCTAAATAGTAACTTTCTACTAAATAATCTTAATATCGATGATATATATAAACAACGATATATTAAGCTGGTATAATATTCATCAACAAAACATTATATTGATTGAATGCGTCGCCGTTAATATGCATTATCGATATCAAGATTATCTAATAGAAAGTTACTATTTAGTACGCGTATCAAGTGCACGATGTAAACCAAGGTATGTTATCTTACGGCTTATGCTAGATTCACACTGAACGCGATTAACGATGAGCGATAAGCGATATCCAATGAGAGTATTGCTTTAAAAAGAAATAAGAGCTCTCATTGGATATCGCTCATCGCTCGTCGCTAATCGCGTTCAATGTTAATTTAACATTAAAGATTAAAGCAAGGTTGTGGACAAGGAATTACTTGTCGAAATCACAGACTTCTACATATAAACTAGACTGCTAATACCCGTATTTAGGCTGAGTTCCGAAATTCACTGCCAGTACTGAAATTCTATAATATACGTAACATAAACTATAGATTTTCAGTACTGGCAGTGCATTTCGGAATGCAGCCTTAGCGATTGGGCGGAAAAATATCGGGCGGTCATTTTTGAAAGGACCGTATCATATAAGCTGCGTTCCGAAATGTACTGCCAGTACTAAAAATGTATAGTTCATGTCACGTATACTATAGAATTTCAGCACTGGAAGTGAATTTCGGAACGCAGCCATAGAAATAGTAATGACACACACTATAGTATATTGCTTCTTCCCACTCACACATTTCCATTCAGGTCACGTATGTGAGGTCCTTTCAAAGATGGCGAACGGTATTTTTCCGCCCAAACAATCCTTAACTAAATTATACCTATTTAGCAGTCTAGATATTATATAGAAGCTGTGGAATTAACAAATGCGATTTCACGTCGCGTATACTATATATTTTGGATGGGACCCGATTGACCATGGTACGATTGAACACAGATTGTAATGCAAGATTCACACCACGATCGATGTCTGATATACGACATCCGATATCCGATAGGAGAACAGCTTTCTAATAGAGAATTCAATTCTCCATTGGAAAGCTGTTCTCTTATTGGATATTGGACGTCGTACGTCAGACATCGGACCCGATGTGAATTCTCCATAATGATTGGTTTGACCTGGTAATTCACTAGATAATTCTTTGCATTGGTTGGTTGTGTCTAATCGTACCATAGTCATTCGATTCGCTCCCTAAATTCTGACAGTATATATATCGGAACATACCCAAATGGCTCCTGTGCTGGAATTCTGTAACTCGTTATTGGAGTTAACGACAGTTTTGTTATCGTTGCGCAGCTTTTGTATACTGTAGAAAAGCTGCGCAACAATAACGAAACTGTCGTTAACTCCAATAACGAATTACAGAATCACAGCACTGCACACAGGACGCTTGCTGCGCGGCGGAAGTTCGCGCGACAGCCAATCAATATGCTGCTTTCCGTAATACCTTCTAGCTCTTACGGAAAAACAACATATTGATTGGTTGTCGCGCGGACTTCCGCCGCGCGACAAGCATTACCGCGTCCTGTGTGCAGGAGCCAAAACAGAGCGCGCTCAAAGCGCTAAATCTTTCCGCGTACGTAGTCTATAGACAACATTCACGTAGCCACGCTTTCTTGCGTATGCGAATATAAGGTAAAGACTGCTACACGTCGTTCATTTTACACCAACCGCCGTCAGAGGAAGAATCTCAGAGTTTGAAGAGGTTCAAGATTTTGTTGATCAAGATGGCGGATCAGGTACGCATCGGTTTTAAGAAGATAAGACTGATTGTTCCAACCTTTTGGTAAGGTAACAGTTAAATTATGTCTGCTTACGTTTTTTTTCAAGACAAAACAGACACATGATTTAACTATCAGGTAGCTTATCAACAGGTTGGAACAATCGATCTATACAGATGTATTCTCGTATAACAGAATTGCTTTGCAAAAATATTTTTCATCCTCACGATAGTTAACATTACAAACGTAAGAAAAACTCTATATAACTTTACAAGATCATAGATAAGTTAAATTAGTATGTTAAGTTAATGTGCATTTGAGAAATCGAGGTTATGAAAGTGCAGCATGTGGTTATATCTGCACACGTATACTACAATTCTTAAGTACAGAATCTGGAAAATATGGAGAAAATCCGTGCTATATCCGTATGATTTCGTTTGCAGAGCGAACGTGCGTTTCAAAAGCAACCTACCATTTTTTTGAATCGCAAAAAAGGTTTAGGTCCGAAACGTAGGAAGCCGATGCGATATAGCCGCAATGTCGGCTTGGGTTTTAAGACTCCACGCGAAGTGAGTATAATCTGCTTTTACCTATAATCTGTTTCTAATTTCATATATTAGCTGACTTCCTTGTCGGAATTTTTTGTACATTAATATTGTTATAATTATTAACAATTATTGACATCTAATTAAAAACAGGAATAAGATTGCACATGCAAGAATGAACTTTATATCAAATTCTATAGGCTCTGGAAGGAACATATATTGACAAGAAATGTCCTTTCACTGGTAACGTTTCAATCAGAGGACGAATTCTTACTGGAGTGGTGCAAAAAATGAAGATGCAACGAACGATAGTCATTCGGAGGGATTATCTTCATTATATTAGAAAATATAATCGATTTGAAAAGCGCCATAGAAATATGAGTGTCCATCTTAGTCCCTGCTTCAGGTATATATGTGTATTATCATATAATTTTTATTACAATTCAAATATTAATCTTTTGTTCATAATGATGATAACAACGACGGTCTACTGACAAAGATATTTTTTGTGAGGATATATCATATCATGCTGAGTAAAGATTCATAATAATAATAAAAGGAAAGAATATGTAACTATCACTAATATGCAAAAACTTTATCAAATTTCAGAGATGTGGAAATTGGTGATGTAGTCACCATCGGAGAATGCAGACCATTGAGCAAGACGGTCCGCTTTAATGTTTTAAAAGTTTCTAAAGGGACCGGCTCCAAAAAAAGTTTTAAGAAATTCTAAGCATGTCTTTCCAATGGTTTGTAATCTTTTAATATCTATTGTTTCTAGAACATTACTGACACTATATTTTATGTAAATATATTTGAATTTGTTAATATAATTGTTATAATTGTGTTATGGACTAAAAAAAATCTGCATAAACGAATTAACGATAATCTTCTAGAGATAAAATGTAGATATTGCATGCTTACACAGTATTACTGCAATTATTTTTATAAAAAAAATATAGAGCTTTATTAATAAAAAGTTATTTGTTATGATTGTTACAGAGCCAGTATGAGGAAGGACAGGTGTTAGAGAAACTGTGTGAACTTATATACTATAATTTATATATTTTGAATTTTGAGAAAAACAAAAATAAAAAGATCTCTACAGTTTGTTCACACAATTAATTTCTGTCAAGAACTGTTACTACGTAAAGCTCCTTTCGCATTCTCTTTTTTTTTTTTTAGTGACGACAGAAGCGAAAAAATGCATGTTAAAAATTTTTGCAAGATACGTTAGAAATATATCCATAAAGTAACACTTTCACAATTGATCAAACATATTTATAGGATATTCCCCTTTGCACTTTCCTTTTGTTCTAACAATTAATAATTTGTCGTAAATTAACGTGATACGATATACAGTTCATCTTTTTAATTTAATTCTTTGCCTATTTCTATTCAGATTAATTTACAACAAATTGATTGTTAAAGCAAAAGGGGAGTGCACGGTATATCTTACAAATTTGTTTAATCAATTGTGCAAGTGTTACTTTATGGATATATATTTTTATTTTAATATATTTTACAAGAATTTTCAGTATGTATTTTCTCGCTTCTGGGTTGATCGTGTATCTCGAAACGAAGTGAAAATTACAAGTGAACAAATTCACTAGGCATTGACCAATGAAGTTACAAATATTCTAGTAAATTTACTCACTTTTGTCATTTTCATTCTGTTTTGAGATACACAATCGACCCCCTGATGTCATTAAAATGAGATAAACGATGCTAGAGGTCAGGAGCTTTAAACACTACTTATCCCTATTTTAATTTATCTGTTTATTCCCTTACGAAAAAGATACGAAAAAACCCTCAATTTTGGGTGTTTATTTCCAGTTTTTGGGTGTGTACACTCGTGGTCTGAAAGGTTTGTGCACCGATTTTTTGTAGATTTCGGAACGCGTCCCAACTTCAGGAGAGAGACAACTACTGCTTGACACGCCAGCGCCGCCAATTATTACGAGAGCAGAAGGATTGCATATACAGTATATTTTGCGCGATATTTTCATCTGTGTAGCTGAAAAGAACAGACCATCTATTACACGACAGAACATAGGGCATTTGAGCCGGTATTCATAGTCGAATCTTATTTCAAGATCGTCTTAAGTAATGTCTTAAGATGCGAATACGGCTCTGATTGGTTCATGACATCTTAAGACAGTAGGTTTGTTCTTTCGACCTGAACTGGCTGTACTAGTTCACGAAGTTTGCACTAATGCGTTCTTTCGATCAGAACAGTGCAAGAAAATGTGTTCTTTCGAAGAGTGCAGGCTGAACTAGTGCAGCGAGTTCAGTGAACTGACTGCCCTAGGTCTGGAGGTAGAGCAAGCAGTGCAGGGCAGCTAACCGAAAAAATTTAAATTTGTATCTATAACCTGTAAAATCGGTATACCTAGTTGACATTACGTAGAAGAAATAATCCGACGACGGAATCTATAAACAGTAAATAAATACTTAAATATATAATAAATATATAATGTAGATAAATATATAATAAATATATAATGTAGAATGACATAAGAAGTATTTAGAATGTTATCCAAACAGCACAAAATATCCGAAAGACATCCTG